ACTTGTTTCTTTTGCATTGAAAGTCTTGCTTCCTTTTAAGAATAAATGATTACAATAATTCATTTTCAAAAGTTCTAGGAGGAATAGAGGTTTTGGAGACGCTTTTGCCTTTTGACAATGTGGGTTTCTAAATAGGATGTTTTGTAGATTGTACATATTCACAATCAATGTTTGCTGATATTGTTGATCCTCCCTGTCAATGATTTGATGATGATACCTTTTATCTATCGAAGTATATTATCTCTGTATTTAGTTTCAGCGATCATCATTGAGTCTGTTCAATGATCGTTGAACATGTATTGTAATTCGTTCAGAGACCGATATACTTCAATTAGACAAAACTCACACCACAGATCCTTCACCAATGTCGAAGACAGAAGGTAAAGATTAGAAACCAACAAGTTCATGATCTGAAATGGTTTTCAGTGATAACAAGCTCGTCCACATAAGTGTGAAGTCGGCGCAAGATTTTGCGAACACTAATGAGACCTTCAACGTGATTCCAGTGTTCAACGATCAAATGAATCTTGTCGAGCAAGATTAGTTTTTATCTTGTCCTTCTACACACAAAGGACAAACCCATACCTTTCTAAGTATAGTACAGTACGGTGTCAATCCTTTGAGTCTAAAACGTGCTTACCTACTTTATGAAAGAGGATTGTTCATATACAACCAAAAGGACTGTATACCATAACAAAGGACAAGCTTTCCTCTTAAAGTTTGCTACATGTTTTGTACCTTCTTAATTGCATATAATGTAGTGGGTATAAATAGCTGAGTAGTTCTACTCTCAGTTATTATCTTCCTCACTCTAAACTAACCCAAGAAGTTACTTTTCTCTCTATTCTATATCTAAGAGAAAGACCCACTTTAACAAGTGAAGAGAATATTTCTTCTTACCTTATTTCTTGTAGCAAGTCTTTTCTTATTGGTATCTGTAATTTAGTGTGTGTCTTAGATTTTTTAGATAGGTTCCGTATCCTATCTCTTCCGCAAATAATATGTAAAATTTGTATTGATCTTCTTTATCAATATATAATTTTTAAAAGTGAAAGTTATTGTGTTTGTATTCATCCCCCCCCCCCCCGTTCTACAAACTGTTACCTATAAACTCTTGTAGATCCGTACTGGAACCAACAAGTGGTATCAGATAAATGTTTGTTCTTGTGTTCTATTGTTGTTTTATAATCTCTTCTTCTATAGATAATTTATTCCTTTCAAAATGGCTTCGCAAAACACTAGCACAAACTTTCACGATAATGCCTCTTTTGCCAAACCTCCCCGGTTTATTAGAGACATATTTAGTCTCTGGAAAAACCGGATGCCTCTCTTCTTTGAAGGTATGGATCCTGAGATTCCATACAATATAGAGAATGGACCTTATGTTTCATCTGCTATCTCTCAAGCAGTTCCTGCAACTACTACGACTACTGCAATTCCTAAACGGTAGATTCTAAAGCTCTCTCATCAATGGAGTGATGAAGACAAGAAGAAGGTGGCTTTAGATACTTGTGGAGGTCTATAATAGCCATGGCTCTTCCTGATGAGGTCTATCACTCTATGATGAAGTTTAAAACCTCAAAAACCATGTGGGACACTCTATATGTTCAATATGAAGGTACTTCTGAAGTACAAGAATCAAGGAAGATTAAACTAGTAAGACAATATGAAAGTTTTATTTGTGGAAAAACTGAATCTTTGTCTCAAGTACATCAACGATTTAATTGTATTCTTATTGATTTAGGACAGTTGGAAGAGAATATTCAAATCCAAAACACAGATAAAATTCCTTGAATATTTGCCAGAAGCATGGGATCAGTATACCATGTGTCTCAAGATGTCCAAGGACATGCCCTCCCTTTCTCTCAGTTCTCTTTATGGGATATTGCTTAATCATGAGCAATCCCATAAGCTAAAGAAGAATCTTCTCAAAGACTCCAGGGAAATGAAAAAGCTCTCTGTTAGATTGATCTTTGATAGCTCTTCAGCTGACCCTTCTATTTCTTCTACTCATTCTATTTCTTATGTTTCTATCACTGAGTTATATCCTTCTAACTCTGAGGACTTGTTAGACACTGATTTTTAAGAGTTTGATAAGTCGCTGGTCCTTCTAACTAACTCTTTCAAGAGATTTGCCAAAAAAATCAATTACCACAGATCTCCTTCGCTGACCATAGCTAAAAAGCCAAAGTCAAATCCCATTGACAAGGCTTCAACGAGCTGCTACAGCTGTCAACGCAAAGGTCATTTTGCAAGTGAATGTAAGTCAAAGAAAATTGCAATGCGATCTTCCAACCTTCCATCCCCATTCAGGCCTCAAAACGACAAGTACACGAAACTGAAGGGGAAGTACAAGAAGATGAAGAATCTTCAACGTGAAAGCAAAAGTCTTGTCATTGAAGAGCATGACTAGGATGATTCTTCTAGAGAATCATCTACTGACGAGGAAGACACGGCCTACCTCTGTCTCATGGACAAGGATGTAAAAGATGAACCATCAGATTCATCATTCTTGTTAGTCCCGTTAGGGGCTACAAGATGTGTATAACAGTTTGTAGAATGGGGGGGGGGGATGAATACGAACACAGTAAACTTTTCAAAATTAAAATATATATTGATAAAGAATGATCAATACAGATTTTACAAGATTGTTTGCGGAAAGATAAGGTAAAGATAACCTATCTAAACAATCTAAGTTACACACTAATTCTTAGCAAAGAGAAATGATTTGATGTTTAAGACTTAGAAGAAAGTAAGTTCTTTCTGGGTAAGAACTATTTAGAATACTTAAAAGGGATTCTAACTTGCTTTTGAAGATAAGCGAATTGTGTTCTTAGATGTATGTTCTTTTACTTATGAACGTAAGTTAGGGTTAAGTGTAAGAGTGTCTCTTCATGGAGATAGAACACATCTATTTATACCCATTACATTAAATGCACATTTAATGCAATGCAGTAGGGTTAGAACACGTGTCAAGCCTTTAGAGAAAGACTTGTCCTTTCCTACAGTGAATAGTATAAAAGCCTATTCATGAGTAGACATCCTTTCATGGAGTTGGTGGGTAGTAGAGTCAACTAATCGGCTCCTTATCGTACTATGATCTAGAAAGGGTATGGATTTGTCCTTTGTGTGTGTAAGGACAAGACAAAAACAATCGTGCTTAACAAGCTTCTTTTGATTGCTGAAAGCTGGAATAACCTGAAGGTCTATTTAGCATTCACTGTTGATCAGGTTGTAATCAATGAATACCGCTTCAGATCACGAACTCGCCAATCTCTAATCTTCAGTTTCAGTCTTCAACTTTCGTTGAAGGTTCTTTGGTGTGAGTTTTGTCTTCTTGAAGTATCGTTGTCGCTAATGGATTTACATTACATGTTCTCAACGATCACTGAACAGACTCAGTGATGATTGCTGGAACTGAAAGACAGAAACATAAATACATCATATAAGGTAAAAGGGATTATCATCAAATCACTGAGAGAGACGATCAACAATCTCCCCCTATTTGATGATAACAAAGCAACATAAAGAAAGTTGTCTTATCAAATAATAGTAAGGAGAAATTACATATAAAGTACATGTCCTTTTTAGCTGTTTTGGGATCTTTTTCAGTAAGTTAGTTCTTACTTAGAAATTTACCTTAAGTTTAAGTCTAAAGAAAATTAAAAGAAGGGAAACTGAAACTGAAAGCATATTCACTGACTTACAGATTGTCAATGAATGTAAGAGTCACTGGAACTCATAAACTTGTGTCTTTGTTACTCTTTTCAGGGATCTTTTTCAGTGATGCACAAAAATACTTATATTAATTTCAAAGGAAATATTACAAGTCTTTAGTACATGTCTAATACTTACAAGATATAAGATTAATCACATAAAGTAGACATAGGATATAGTTTATAGTGTGAAAGAACGAAGTACAAAAGAAATAACTAATCTTAGTTGTTCAGATTAATGTAACCAGGTACATCTTCTCCGAGCTCCTTTCAACGTCGAAATTCCTTTCTGATCCTGATGTCCATCATTTCACCATATATGTCATTGTTTAGCCAATAACGGATGTATGCAAGATGTTCCATTGGGCAGAGATGCAACTCATACATTCTTTGGAAGCTGACTTCGCCATCATAGACAAGGAAAATAAATTGTTACTCAGGCTTCATAAGTACAGTGTTGGGTATATAGGGACCCTTCGCTGGCAATGTTAGGTTCAACATGGATATGTTTGGCTTCCTCAAAGTCTTCAGGACTTCATCTAAGGAGAACTTTGTTTCATGTTCATTCCACAGGGATGGTCCATCATTAGGGCTTGAAGGTCTTTTTCTTCTTCCTCCTTTCTTCAACGCAGGCACTTCAGGGACTACGACATATATGGATACCTTCTTGATCAACTCATTGATAGGGTCTTCAATAGTCATTTTATGTCTGGACTTTGAGCGCTAAATGGCTTGTCGGATCTCCAACCATTCGCTATAGCCATATTCGCCAAGGTAGGAGGGATACTCGGTCACGACCTCGAGATTTTCCTTAGTAATGAGTATAGAGAGCAGCATGCCATCGTCTTTTGATCATCCACTGATGTTGATGCTCTTGATTGGGTGAGGGATGATCCTCTTATTGATACTTGCTTCGCTCCAACGCTTCTCCCGCTCGGCCAACTTCAGGTTCTTCTCACGTTTAGCTTCTATAATAGATAGAAGCTTAGCTTGGTCCTGGACAACGTTCACCTTCTTTTTGTACTTTCTTTTGGGAAGAACTTTTGCAGCTAGAGACTTGGCCAACTTTAAGTTGTCCTAAGTCTGCTTCTTTTGGATTTCAAGTTCTTCCTCAGCTCTTAAGGCCTCGATTCTTTCAGCTTCCGTCAGGAAGTCAAACTCACCACAACTAGAGGTACGAAGAGGAATTTTTACTCTAGTTTGGTCAAGTGACTCCCTGAGCTGAGTCATATGTTGGCCGGTAGGAGTGCTGGGGGTTGGGTTCTCAGGGAACCATTCCTCTAGCTAACCATAGGTAGTAGAGGGTATATCGAGTTGGTAGAGTGAGGTGACGATTACTTGAGATGAGGAATCTTCATATAAGGGTTGAGGAGATTTGAATAATACCTTTAAATTTCCTTCTTTAGCGACGCCTTTGCCTTTCGACTTAAAGCCCTGGTTCGCTTCAGGTGCAGGCTCTTCTTCCCTTTGCTCCCACTTGGATGCGGAATCCCTGAGGGCAACTCCTTTTGTGGCAGTGGCGGGATGCTGGTATTGAATGGTGAAGTCATCTTCGTCGTCATCATCGTCTTTATCATCCAGGTCACTGCCGGAGTAAGGGAGGTCAGGAGAGTCACCTTCCTTATCATCATCGTCTTCTTCTTCATCTTCCACATCACCAACAACAGGTGAAGAGATGATAGGAAGGTCATCATCACAAGCTTCAGCTCGGATGGCATCAACGTCTTCGGCTATAGAAGCTTCACTACAGGTTGGGATATCACAGACAACCTCAACTTCAGCTTCAGCTTCAACGTCATTAGTTGCTGGAGCAGCAGGTTTAGTAGGGGTGGCAGCAACAGATGGTCTAGCAGTGTTAGACCTTATCTCCCCCTCTTTGGCGATGGCTTGGGAGCATATGCCAGAGAGTTGCTCGACACTGTGGAGTTGAAGTACCATCATTTCTTCTAGTTGCGTTAGAGTGTTGGCTAGGTTGAAGTACCATCATTTAGCTGGGCGCGGTCATCAGCAGAGAAAGACGGAGTAGGCACTAGTACTAGTCGATTGAGGGCGGTCTGAACTTGCTGCAACAGCTCCGCTTGCTGAAGAGAGTGAGCCATTGCGTCATCAGCCCTGCTTATGAGAGCAGTGATGGCCTCAACATTCGCTCATACAACATCTTGAAGAGTGGGGAGCTGGCCCTTTACATCTTGGACTTCAGCCCTGACGGCTGCGAGGTCCGCAACAACTTCGTCTTTGCAAGACATGTCCTTGTGGACCTCGTCCATCTTGATGAGGATAGTCTCGACGGCTGGGAGGATTAGCTTGACATCCATTGCCATGTCATATTCCTCTTCATTCATGGCCTGGGCCTCAGACGAACCTAAAAAGGAAAGAGAGTGAGCAAAAAGAAGCTCTAGGTTAGAGAAAATGAATGGATAGGAAGATGGAGTTCTTGAGGGGTCTTCAGTGTTATCTGAATAACGCTAGTTTGCTCCATGGTGCACTCATGAGGATGAGCACCAGTTTTTGAGGAGCCTCGAGAGGAGCTACCTCAAGTCCAGTGGCGGATGTCTCATTATTAGTGAGGACTGGCACTGATGATTCATGGAAACATGTTGAGACCAATAATGATGAAGGGAAGGAGACGATGGCTGAGACTGATAGTGGGTGTTTAGCGGTGTGGCGCTGATATTCACACCTTCAGTGATTTGGGTCACTGAGGCGGTTAGGAGAGGTGCCACTGGTAAGACATTGATCTCATATATCACTAAAGAGCTGGGAAGGCTAAAGTGCCTTGAGGCTGAGATGTTTTGAGAGGTCACAGCAAGAGATGAGGTATTCCCTTTTTGGCCTACTTGGCCCTCGAAGGAGAACCAAGAGTGGGTTGAGATGGGCGTTTGGAATATGTGGTTGTTGTGGCTGGGATAGACTTAGGGGGGATTTCCCTTGTCTTGGGCACCTGAGGAGGAGAAGGAGGAAATGAAGAGAATTGCACCACTGAAGATAGTGCAACATCTCCATCCTTAAGCTTGTGATCCAGAATCCTGGATCCAAGCCTACAAACAGGAAGGTTACCTTTCTTAGAGTACCCGTCGCCAAAGATCTTGGAAAAGACCATGGAGAGGAACTTGGTGTAGGGAAACACTTTCTCCCTCTGGCGCTTGTTCAGCTTCAGCGCCAGGTCGTTGAAGATCACGATAACATAGTTGATTGGTCGGCGTTGGATCACGGAGACGCCAATAGTGAGGGCGATTCGGGAAGCTTGATCGTGGCTAGCAATATTTCCACCCATACTCTGGATGAAGTGAGAGAAGAAGTATTTCCAGACCACTGACATGCGGTTCTTCTCAATCTTTGACAGTGACTTGAGGGGCTTACTGGAGTCCTTCTTCATTGACTATTGGTAGCCAATGTCATCCAGGAAGGCGACGATCTTAGCAGTGGATGGTTCGCTGGCAAAGTGACCCTTGGGGAAGCGAAGTGCGTGTCTTAGAGTTGTCACGCCGAAGCTAACAGTCATCCTGTTGAAGGTGAAGGAGATTTTCTCCACCTGACGACCGTTCTTATCCTCTTCTTGCACCACATTAGCAGTCTTCCAGAATTGCTGAAAAGCCTCCCTAACCATGAAAGGTTCATGGTTGAGAGCATAAGCTATTGGGGACATACATAGGAGATGTCTTCCACATCAAAGTTCACATTATTGGCAACCATTTTCTGTTTTTGGTAAGGAAATAAGAATGAGAAAAAAAGTTCATATTAGTAGTCCAAGATTTATTGTGACCTTTTTAAGTCTTAGAACAATAAAACTTCTTTTGAAAAATCCACAAATAAGATATTAGGGTTTTTTCAAGTAGATTAATGTTTTGAAAAAAAGATTATAACCATGAATAAGAATGTGTTATTAATCTTTCTGTTTGTGTTTTAAGAGAACAAGGTTCTTAAAATCTCAAGCATTTGTTTCACTAGAAGGAAGAGAACAGTTCAAAATGTAAATAAATTTATCAACCATAGAGTTCTTTGAAGAAGGTTGAAGATTTTGAGTGTTCTTCAGAGTTCTTGCTTGCAAAGTATTTTTGGCAGAGGTTCGTCAAAAAAATTTGTAAACGTAAAGAAAATATGAGGGAATAGATCCCATATTTATAGATAGGAGGAGATAGAAAGGAAATAGGAGAGAGGAAAAATACGACGGTTGAGGAAAGGCCATGATGAGAAATATGGCACGTTCTCATCCTTGATTGGATGGAAGATAAAGTAGGTCGCGTGTGTTAGACTTTTTTGCGCATCTCAAAGCGATTCATATTGGTAACAGAGAATGTCGTCATTAAGACGGTTCATTAACTATTTCTTTTAAAACGAAAGGGTTTTAAGAAATTTGAAGAGTCATATTCAATGATAAGATAATCACCTAATAAAAATCTTTTAAAAACATTTTGATCTCTGAAGAAGAGAAGCTTCAGTGATGGTTTTGTTTTAAGAACTGGAAATAACTTAAAAATATTTTCATAAGAGACTTCAGTGTCAGTGATAAAAGAATCACTGAAACTGACATTTAAAAATATTTGAATCATTGAAGGTAGAAAGGTTCAGTGATCATTTTGATTTTAAGAAAAGATAAGTATAAAAGAGATATACTTATAAAAATGTTTCGTGAACGAAATAATCACTGAAACAAACTTTTAAAACGTTTTGATCACTGAAGAAAGAGAGCTTCAGTGATAGTTGTAAGTTTTTAGAAAAAATCAAGTATACATACCTTAGAGAGAGTAGATACATTTACTTAAGAGTTCAGTGATAGAGATAGAGCACTGAATCATTTCACTTACTGATTGATGTGTATTGTTGAAGAAAATTATTCTTCACCGTTTAGCATCCCCAGTTCGCTAATCAAGATGCTAAATCTTGTCCCATCAAGAGGCTTGGTGAAAAGGTCAACGAGCTGATAATCAATTGGAACAAAGTGAAGTTCAATATCACCATTCATAACATGATCTCTGATAAAATGATATCTGATCTCTATATGTTTGGTCTTGGAGTGAAGTACAGGGTTGTTTGCGTTTGCAATAGCACTAGTGCTATCACAATAGATAGGAATCTTTGAGAATTGAAGATCGTAGTCATTCAGCTGGTTTTTCATCCAAAGGACTTGGGCACAACAACTTCCAGCAGCTACATATTCAACTTCAGTGGTTGATGTGGACAATGAGTTTTGCTTCTTACTTGTCTAGCTCACCAACATTCCACCTAGAAGCTAACAGCCTCTAGTGGTGCTTTTCCTATCGATCTTGTAACCTGCATAATTAATATCCGAATAACCTATTAGGTCAAAACCTGAACCCTTAGGATACTAAAGACCCAAGTTTGGAGTTCTCTTCAGATATTTGAAGATGCGTTTTACAGCAATCAGATGGGATTTGTTAGGTTCAAATTGATATCGTGCACATAAGCAAGAAGAATAGATGATATCTGGTCGACTAGCTGTGAGATAAAGCAGGGAGCCGATCATTCCTCTATAAACAGTTACGTTATCAGGCTTTCCAATATGGATCCTTGTTGAGAGAGAGAGTGGAGGAGCCAGTGGAGTCTTCATGGATGAGCTATTAGATATATCAAACTTCTTCAGCATGTCATGGACATACTTACTTTGACTGATAAAGATACCTTTATCTGATTGCTTGATCTGGAGACCTAAAAAGAAGGTTAGTTCTCTCATCATACTCATCTGGTATTGTTTTTTCATACGATCAGCGAATCGAAAACACAAAGAGGGATTAGTGGAGCCAAAAATAATATTATCGACATAATTTGGACTAGAATGATATGACCTTTAACTTTCCTAAGAAATAAGGTTTGGTCAATCTTTCCACGAAAATATTTCTCAGAGATGAGAAATGAGGAGAGGGTATCATACCAGGCACATGGAGCCTGTTTCAACCCATAAAGATCTTTATCCAAATGATAGACATGGTTTGGATACTTAGGGTCAAGAAACCCTGGAGGTTGTTCAACAAAAACTTCCTCTTGAAGTTTTCCATTAAGGAAAGCGCTCTTTGCATCCATTTGGTAGACTTTGAAGTCTCTATGGGCATCAAAGGCTAGAAAGAGTCGAATTGCTTCGAGTCTAGCCACTGATGCGAAGGTTTCATCATAGTCGATCCCTTCTTGTCTATAATTCTGAGCAGCAAGTCGAGCCTTGTTACGGGTTACCACACCTTCTTCATCTAACTTGTTGCGATAGACCCATTTGGTGCCTATCACTGTTTTGTCAGATGGACGTGGGAAAAGGTACCAGACTTTGTTCCTATCAAACTCAAGGAGCTCCTATTGTATGGTAATGACCCAACTAGGGTCTGAGATAGCATCACTGATCTTCTTGGGTTCAACTAAAGAGAGAAAGTTGACAAAGAGACAAATATTACCTAGGCCACGACGAGTCTGAATACCTGCACCTGGATCACCAAGAATTTGATGAATTGGATGGTCTTTAATCCATTGCTGAGCTGGTAGAAGATTATCATATGAGTAGAGAAGTTCAAGAACAATGGATGAGGCTTCAGATGCAGTGTCTTCAGCGATTGAAACAATTTCTAAAGGAGCCTCATATTCAGCGACTGAAATAGATTCAAATACTGAAGGCATTTCATTCAATGATTGATCAGTGTTTGAAGTAGAAGGAGGAACACAACTAATGGACACAAAAACGCTGAAGAAGACACGTTAGTGTGACTAACTGCAACTGGAATGATTAATGGCTCATCTTCAGCTTCTGTGGGATCAGTGTTAAGAGGAATGCTGAAGGAAGCTTCAGGTTGTCCATAATGAGAGAACATCCAGTTTTCTAATTCATCTTCATCATTTAAGATGAGTTTTAAATTAGCTGATTGAGATTCATCAAATGTGACATGAATAGTTTCTTCTATCGTTTGTCTCCATTTGTTGAATACTCTAAAAGCTTTGGA